GACAAGCCATTAGAAATGAGACGGTCTGGTACTCGTCCTATCCAACCTGGTCCTGAAACCACGGCCTTTGCTGACCCATAAATACATCAGCAAAATAGACTCCAGCAATTAAAGAGACACGTGTGTACACAGAAGTCTGGCTTTGATTTTGAACAGAGCCCAAAATATGGTGCGTGAGCAAAGGTCAAATATATAAATCTTTGACCCTTTGAAAGATTTCAGAAAAGTCATTCATTCAGTTTGACACAGAATTTCCAGCAAAGACCTGTAAAAATGTCTAAACATCCTTAAAACAGTGTACTTGCAAGAATACATATTGAATAAGGGGTTCTTACTGATTAATAAACCCAACGAAATTCAATGAGGTAAGACCGTTAAGATTATTTGCGTTGATATTATTGCTGACAGTTAAGCAGAATTCCTCCCAAAATTCTCATAAATGCACTGCCATTGTATTTATACATCATGGTGGTATTTGTTAATGCTTTAATCCAGTATTTTTTTGTAATACAGATCAATTCATTTGTTACCATAGTGAGAATCTAATAAGAATCACATAAAAGTGATCATGTCTCTTTAGAAGACTTGAATTCAACCACTTGATTCCTATGGATTATTTTTAGGATGTATTTTTGTCAAAGGTTTGGTATGAATGGACAGAAATATTAAAGATATATTCATTTGTACTCCAAAGATGAACAGAAAGATGATGGGTTTAACAACATTAGGGTGAGAATGTTTGGGTGAACTATCCCTTTAAGACATGCCCTAATGAATATATAATTAAACTCCAATTAAAGGGTCACTTCACCCATTTGCATTAAGCTTTGTATCTTTAGAAACCCAGTCATATATTTTTGAATGGTCATGGTTTATTCCCTTATTTTCCCCTGAGATGGGAGAAATAAGGATTTAAGTGTTTTATTTCCTGCTTATCGTGACGTAAAAATCGTCATTTTGCGTCACGATAAGAAGGAAGTCACATTTCATTAAAATGTCAACAGACTACAATGATTAGCTCATTATTATTCAAGGTTGTGGCACCCACTCACCCACAGGCCTATTACAGATCAGTGGGTGGGACTTCACTTGCAGAAACTGAAATCAATATCCGCCATCTTGTTTGGAAGCTAAGCTAACAAGCCCTGTGGAGATATGAAGTTATGATAATGGAAGAAACTAAACATGATATGGAAGAAGAGGGTTTTGAAAGTCTGCTGCTCGAATCCGATGTTCGTGGCTATCTTTACGAGCTGCAGTATAGTTTAGAGCAGCTGAGGCTGATGGAGGAGCAGGAGACGCCTGGCTGTCGGTCGAGACGCCCGGACTGGGTCGAGCTCGGCGGCCTGCTGTTGCTTGTATTCTCGCTGCGTGTCACGGCCTATGGACACAGAGTCCGTCTGCTGCAGAGAATTTCAACGATGGCAATTTCTCCTGGAGGAAATCTCTGAATCAGACGAGCACACGGACGTTTGTGTTGTGATAGTTTCGCCTTCAGAACATCCAGGTATCATGCAGTAATTCACCATACAGAAATAAATACAAACGCGGAGTAATTCACTAACGTTAATGTGTTTATGTAACGTGAACGGGTTTTAATGTTGTGGGAAAAAAGAGGCATCAACCGGCGAACATTTAAACATTTTAATAGTAAAAGGAACAAATACAAAACGAAAGTAAGCCAGCGTTACACACAACAGAAACAAAACATAAAATCAGGCCTGTTTCTCTCTCGAGCTGCCGTCGTCGCTCCCCATTTTATGCATTCGCTCCTTCTATTCGTGAGAGACGCACCGGCGCGCGCCGTTACAGGTGTCTTTCATTATCACTCACGCCACCGGCAGCGCGCAGCGCGCCGTCCTCTTACATCCCTCGCCCTCGATCGTCCTGCTCGCCACAGCCAACTAACTAGACATTTTGTTTGAAATGAATTTCAAACTCTTACTCTGGTGAAAGCTAATGTTAGCGTTGTAGACGGAAGAGTGTGTTTGCGTCTCTGTTTGCGCTGTTCCGGTGGGTGGGTTAGTGGGTGTGTCTTGCGGAGCTGTGCAATGTTGGGGAATTCTGGGAACTGTAGTTTTTTAACACAAAGGCGCCCTTTGGTTATTTTCTGTCTTTTCTCAGTCAAGAGGGCACCAAATTAAAAAATGATTTTACATTTCGACTACATATATGATCCACTTTCAATAAAGATTAATGTTGCAATGGGTGAAATGCTCCTTTAATTGTCATGAAAATAAAGCAAAATGAGGTTTCATATTCTTCAAAAAAAATAAATAAATAATAATAATCTAATACCATATTTCTTTCTTTTGATTTGAGGTTTAGTCATAATAATAAAGCTTTGTTGACTCTGACCCTGATAGTGAGAGATTAGAGTTGTATTAACATTAGGGCTGTCAAATGATTAATCGCGATTAATCGCATCCAAAATAAAAGTTTTTGTTATATGTGGGTGCACTGTGTATAATTATTTTATATATATATATATATATAAATGCACACACATGCTTGTATATATTTAAGAAATATTTTCATGTATACACTGTAAATAGATTTATATATAATTTATATTCTTTTATTTATATTAAATATATTATTTATTACATTAAATAATATTTTTTCTTAAATATACATGCATGTGTGTGTATTTATATTCAAAATAATTATACACAGTGCACCCACATATATTATGTAAACCCAAACTTTTATTTTGGATGCGATTAATCACGATTAATCATTTGACAGCCCTAATTAATATCTAATGTGGGATCTGAGGGAATATGATGTTCTCAAAGTAAATACAGATTGACAAAAGGAGCATGAAGACTTAATCGCTAAACCTTAAACCCATTACATGACACACACACTGTGTCAATAAGATGTTCAATAAGATGTCTAGACGCAGTGAAGAGCGATGTTACCTGGTAAGCGTGGTCAGTGCGGATGTGACACAGCGCCGACGGTGCTGATTGGCTGAGTGGGGTGTGGATCATGCGGGCGGGCTCAGATCGAGACACATCACAAGTCAGGACGGGGAAGACGGGGGCCGGCCCGGACGAAGTAGGAGAGGTGGGCGTGAGGTTGGACAGCCCCTCTGAAAGAGAGTCCATGTTGACCTCGATTTCAGAGTAGTAGAAATCCTCCTCTCCGTCGCTGTAGTCAGAATCTCCATTTCGTCTGAAAACACACGACACTAAAACTTAGGACGAGCCTCCTTATGACTGCAGGCTCGGTGCTCTTGTGCACGCGTGTGTCAACAGGCAGCCGGCAGGGGGCAGCAGTGCCAGCATCATAACCGAGGCTTGATTTACACGGGATAGTCAGGTAGCAACTAGAGGCTATAAAAACACTCTTACTACTTCCATCAGAATGTGGTTGCCTCTCTACCTCCTGTTATGGTGCTCCTGTTACCCTGAGCTGCCTCATCCTTAGAGACTGACAGACAGACTGAGCCCTTCATATGGACATCATCTCCGCCTCAAAAGCTTTAAAAGTTAACTTTACACTTACTAACTTTACACTTACTAAAAAAGAAAGCCAATACGTCCTATGTAGAAAACTTTTAACACCGTGGCCTATGCTCTTTTTTTAATGTTAAAAGAATTTAATGTGAGTTCGAATATCATTTTGCGTGCCCTTTATAGCTGCACTGAGAGCGACTGGATAATTCTCAGATCTTGAAAATAAAAGGAAACAAGAATGTTGAACAAACAAGTGAGTTCTATGACAAAGATTTTTTCAGTCACTCAGTATGTATTTTTAAAGGAATAGTTGACCCAAAAATAAAAAATCTGTCATCTTTTACTGATGCCGTCTCAAACCTGTAAGACTTTCGTTGATCTTAAGGACCCAAATGAAGATATTTTTGATGAAATCTGAGAGATTTCTGTTCCTCCATTGACAGCTACACAACTACTACTTTCTACTACTAGGTTCATTCTCATGTTACGCATCACGTTTGAGCTTCAACAAGAACCAATGAGGTTCATTCTGGTGTTACGCAGCACGTTTGAGCTTCAGAAAGAGCCAATGAGGTTCATTCTGGTGTTACGCAGCATGTTTGACCTTCAGCAAGAGCCAATGAGGTTCATTCTGGTGTTACGCAGGACGTTTGATCTTCAGAAAGAGCCAATGAGGTTCATTCTGGTGTTACGCAGCACGTTTGAGCTTCAGAAAGAGCCAATGAGGTTCATTCTGGTGTTACGCAGCACGTTTGAGCTTCAACAAGAACCAATGAGGTTCATTCTGGTGTTACGCAGCACGTTTGAGCTTCAACAAGAACCAATGAGGTTCATTCTGGTGTTACGCATCACGTTTGATCTTCAACAAGAACCAATGAGGTTCATTCTGGTGTTACGCAGCACGTTTGAGCTTCAGAAAGAGCCAATGAGGTTCATTCTGGTGTTACGCAGCACGTTTGAGCTTCAACAAGAACCAATGAGGTTCATTCTGGTGTTACGCAGCACGTTTGAGCTTCAGAAAGAGCCAATGAGGTTCATTCTGGTGTTACGCAGCACGTTTGAGCTTCAGCAAGAGCCAATGAGGTTCATTCTGGTGTTACGCATCACGTTTGAGCTTCAACAAGAACCAATGAGGTTCATTCTGGTGTTACGCAGCACGTTTGAGCTTCAACAAGAACCAATGAGGTTCATTCTGGTGTTACGCAGCACGTTTGAGCTTCAACAAGAACCAATGAGGTTCATTCTGGTGTTACGCAGCACGTTTGATCTTCAGAAAGAGCCAATGAGGTTCATTCTGGTGTTACGCAGCACGTTTGAGCTTCAACAAGAACCAATGAGGTTCATTCTGGTGTTACGCAGCACGTTTGATCTTCAGAAAGAGCCAATGAGGTTCATTCTGGTGTTACGCAGCACGTTTGATCTTCAGCAAGAGCCAATGAGGTTCATTCTGGTGTTACGCAGCACGTTTGATCTTCAGAAAGAGCCAATGAGGTTCATTCTGGTGTTACGCAGCACGTTTGAGCTTCAGAAAGAGCCAATGAGGTTCATTCTGGTGTTACGCAGCACGTTTGAGCTTCAACAAGAACCAATGAGGTTCATTCTGGTGTTACGCAGCACGTTTGATCTTCAACAAGAACCAATGAGGTTCATTCTGGTGTTACGCAGCACGTTTGATCTTCAACAAGAACCAATGAGGTTCATTCTGGTGTTACGCAGCACGTTTGATCTTCAACAAGAACCAATGAGGTTCATTCTGGTGTTACGCATCACGTTTGATCTTCAACAAGAACCAATGAGGTTCATTCTGGTGTTACGCAGCACGTTTGAGCTTCAGAAAGAGCCAATGAGGTTCATTCTGGTGTTACGCAGCACGTTTGATCTTCAACAAGAACCAATGAGGTTCATTCTGGTGTTACGCAGCACGTTTGATCTTCAGAAAGAGCCAATGAGGTTCATTCTGGTGTTACGCAGCACGTTTGATCTTCAGAAAGAGCCAATGAGGTTCATTCTGGTGTTACGCAGCACGTTTGAGCTTCAGAAAGAGCCAATGAGGTTCATTCTGGTGTTACGCAGCACGTTTGAGCTTCAACAAGAACCAATGAGGTTCATTCTGGTGTTACGCAGCACGTTTGATCTTCAACAAGAACCAATGAGGTTCATTCTGGTGTTACGCAGCACGTTTGAGCTTCAACAAGAACCAATGAGGTTCATTCTGGTGTTACGCAGCACGTTTGAGCTTCAACAAGAACCAATGAGGTTCATTCTGGTGTTACGCATCACGTTTGATCTTCAACAAGAACCAATGAGGTTCATTCTGGTGTTACGCAGCACGTTTGAGCTTCAGAAAGAGCCAATGAGGTTCATTCTGGTGTTACGCAGCACGTTTGACCTTCAGCAAGAGCCAATGAGGTTCATTCTGGTGTTACGCAGCACGTTTGATCTTCAGAAAGAGCCAATGAGGTTCATTCTGGTGTTACGCAGCACGTTTGAGCTTCAGAAAGAGCCAATGAGGTTCATTCTGGTGTTACGCAGCACGTTTGAGCTTCAGAAAGAGCCAATGAGGTTCATTCTGGTGTTACGCAGCACGTTTGATCTTCAGAAAGAGCCAATGAGGTTCATTTTGGTGTTACGCAGCACGTTTAAGCTTCAGAAAGAGCCAATGAGGTTTATTCTCATGTTACACAGCACGTTTGAGCTTCAGAAAGAGCCAATGAGGTTCATTCTGGTGTTAGGCAGCACGTTTAAGCTTCAGAAAGAGCCAATGAGGTTCATTCTCGTGTTACGCAGCACGTTTGACCTTCAGCAAGAGCCAATGAGGTTCATTCTGGTGTTACGCAGCACTTTTTAGCTTCACTAAGAGGTTTGCAGCATGGGTCAAGCTGGTTCGGTTGAGCTTCTGCTTATGTTTACTGATCAATGTTTATATGTTATTAAAAGCCTAAATTCAATCTGTTCATCATATAAAGCAATATTGTCCCTCCAGAAAATTTGGACTAATCCGCTCAATTCATTAGTTCTGTCAGGATGACTATCGTCAAGTACGGATGACAATAAGCACACAGTTAGGATTGGTGGTATGGTTCTGTTCTGGGCAAGAACTCCCTGCGCATCCATGCAGCAATATCCCCCCTTAGGGTAAACAGAACAGAACCAACATGAATGTATTGCAGAGAACAGTACTTCAAGATTTTATTCTGATTCAAGGGGAATCAGATTCCCATTTGGAGGAGCAGGGGAAGGAGGAGGGCAATCAGCTCCTGAGAAACACGATCGCTGCTGATAATACTGAAGGAGCTTAGACGTCGTATTTCTATAGGTAGACGTGTATCAGCTGAGAATCACTAATGCGAGCTTGACTAGCGTGACCAGAACTGTTTATGAACATTTTTAAGCGTCAATATAATATTTGTGTAGCTGTCAATGGAGAGACAGAACGCTCTCAGATTTCATCAAAAAGATCTTAATTTGTGTTCTGAAGATGAACGAAAATGATACAATTGGGAACGATACGAGGGTGAGTCATTAATGACAGAATTTGCATTTCTGAGTGAACTATTCCTTTTAACAATGTTAAATCGATGTAATATTCATGAATTCATTGTGAGTGCAGTGCGCTTGCATAGAGACTCAGCCCACATGCTCTTCTGATTGGCTGTGATTTTTGATTGACTTTGTCACGTCTTGCAGTCGAGTCACGTCTAGTTTGGGCAGACAAATTGCTTGTGTAAATGTTCAAACTGCAGAATAAAACATGTGCATCTATTGCGTGCGTGATTTGTCTGATTGACACTTACCCGAGGTGGACGGTGCGGATGTGGCGCTGGATCCCTGAGGAGGTGCTGAGGACTTTTTCACAGTTCTTCCACAGACACTTAAACATCACCTTCATGGAGTTCTGGAACAAACAAACATGACGATTAACGTTTTATAAAAGGACATGCCAGTGTTTCCGAAGTTGCTAATGTTTTAAGGAAGTTTGAAAGGCAGCCAATCACGAATCTATATGCAAATTTCACAATGACATCATTCAGTAATATTTTGATTTTTGAGTATTCTATTTTATCAATGGTAGATTTTTTAAACTTGAATCTTACGTTTCTTAAAAAGCTTTTAAAAGACCAAAATAGACAGCACACCCAAGGCTACAAAACGAGTTTGAATGCCTTAGAAATGCCTAAGGAACATCAACACAGTTCTGCCTTAAAGCTATAAACCTACTTTAAAAAATACTAAAGATTCCCTTACTAATAATAATTAGTAAGTGAATCTTTAAAAGGAGATCTGGCCGCTATCTGCAGTGATTCAGAGGTCTGATTGCATAAGCCGCCTCATGAAATTCCCTTCAGCCCACTGCCGCCCCAAAGGCACGGAGGCTTCTCTGCTGCAGTCAAAAACAACTACAGCACTGTCATGTGACGGCACGCGTGTGTCATGTGTGGGAGATTCACACCTATGGAGATATTTTTGGTGCAAAACTACTGAACGCCTGTGACTGTTTTTCGCTTTCAAGTGACAAGTTTTGCACACTCTCCCAGTTGCACCAAGTGCACCGTGAAATGTGGAGCAAGTGTCAGTTGTGCATCTGTAGAGGCAGTTCAACAAAATATTTATTTGAAATATGAGTATGATGAATGATAATATGAGAATATGAATATGAAAATATGAGATGTCATTTGTAACATTCTAAAAGTATTATGCACTTCTGTATGTATAAAATACATTTATTGATACATACTAGTGCTGTCAAACGATTAAAATATTTAATCTCGATTAATCGCATTAATGTCGTAGTTAACTCGCGATTAATCGCACATTTTTATCTATTCTAAATGTCTCTTGATTTCTTTTTTCTCACATTATTTTTTCTCATTTTAATGCTCTTATCAACATGGAAAAGTGGGAAAAAAAAGCTTGCTTTGTGCAAATGTTTTTTATTGAAAGCAACATTGCCATATACTGTGTTCAATTTCACACTAAATTTCTCACTTGGAACAAATAATCTCTCACACAATAAACACTGTCCATCAATAAAAGGGTGAAAGAAATACTGACGAGGTCCTGATATTGACGAGGTGGTGGAGAATTTGCATCGGCTGTGTGTGTGTGTGTGCGCGCGCTTGGCAATCAAGTGTTATTTCAGACTGGACGTGCTGCGATGATGATAGCTCAGTTCAACAACAAAACACACAGATCACTTTGGTCTTGTCAATGGAACCATTTGGCAACTTTTTAAAAGTAAACTTTCCATTCAGAATCTTATTGGCATCCATTTCGGCGTCTCGCGCTTGTCATCCACTCAAAACGTAACGTTAACCAACTATTTGGAAACAAACGAGTGTGTGCGGCGTGCCTGTTGTTTTGTTTCCGGTCAAGCTAGATCCGCTTGCGCTTTGATCGTTGAAGCAACAAAGCGTCCTCGTGCGGCGCAAGCCATTGAAATGAATGGGTTTCATAGTGCAGCACCGCGCATGCCGCGTCCTGTTGCAAAAGCATGCGAAAAAAAAAACTACAAAGTTTGCTAGGCCAAAAAGATCATTTGATCATTGAAGATCATTGTTCTTTTATTGTTCTATTGTTCAGTCTAGTAACTGTTCCTTTAATTACCTTAAACAAAACCATTCATTTAATCATTAACAAGACCACTGTCTCAAAACATGTTCAATAATTTTAGCGATTCTCGTTTGCTACTTAAATTTACAAAATTTAAAAACTTGAAATATTAGATCAAATTAGCACTGTGATCAAAAGCGGATGTTTAGGAAAGCACTACGGTAATTATCTGTGCCATCAAGTGGTTCAGACGAAAAATAAAATCACAGCTTTATCTAATCTATAGAATTGTGGCAACAGATTACAAGCAATATTATTAATTAAATTTAATTAATCAAATTATTCCTTAAAAGTTAACCATTTAAAATGAGTAAAGTTTACCCAAAAAAATTAACAAAAATATCCCACTAACAGACAGACGTCAAAGATTAATTAAGAACTCATTATTTTATATTGCCAACATTGAAGACACCTGTTGTTAACAAGCAGAATCACTGAAGGAGAAAACCGTCATTTTAAAACAAACCTAAAATAAACACTGATCACCATAATGGTGACTTCAGTTTACGTTTTTTTGTTGTTGTAAGTTTTACTCATTTTAAATGGTTAACTTTTAAGGAATTAATTTAAGGTTGCACCTTATCATATTCCCATAGTTCAGACACAGAACGGTGTGAAAGAATGACACTCCACAACAAACAGAGAGCCAAAATTATATTATCATTATATTCATAATTATCATCATTTCCTCAGATTAATCTCACCAGGAGCTTAATTTGTGAGAAAAATGATCACATTAACTCTGAAATATGAAACATGTCTGGACCTGTTCACTGAGTCAATGAGTGGGTGTGTGTTTTCTCACACACACACACACACACAAAAAAAAACATACAAATGCTCTTGGCTGTTCTCAAGGCTGATAATTTTAACCCTTTCACAGATCACAAAAGCCTATGAAACATTTCCCATCGAAGCCTCGTCAGAGAGGATGCGACAACCATTAACCGAAAGCGACTGGGAAGTGTATGTCTTTATGAATGAACAGTCAGTCCTCTTGAGTTACACTTCACCCAGCTGCTCAGCATTTGGCTCGGTTCGCTTCAAAGAACGTTTTTTTTTCTCTCGTCTCCTTCATTTTCACAGTGGTTTTTATTGGCTATAGCAGGACATATATGCATGCAGGGAGCTGAAATAATAGAAGAGGTAGCCAGCGCTGTTGCCTAAGACAAGCACTAGCAGTACGGGACACATCCATCTGTCTCCATACACACACACACACACACAGGAGAGTCACGCTCCAGCCAAAAATCAGCTGAACCCATATTAAACATTATGTAATGCGCACCAGCATGAAATAAACAACTCTACTATCTATTTTTTTAATTCTGTCTTCAACATTTCGACTAAATTTCTAATTGTGTACAGGATGGTAAATGGGGTTTCCAACAAAATCAGAAAGGGCTTCTTCAATCCCCTAAGTATTTTTATTTTTTTTTAAATGACAAAAACAGTGTATTCTTATTTGCTGTTATTGGGATCTTTTAAGAGATTAAAGTTATGACACAATTTCCATTGGCAATTTAGTGTACAAGGTTAGAAGGGAGTCCATAGGCTTTTCACAGCAGAACTCTATGTGTTCTCGACAAAAAAAGTGTGTTATTTGAGCTTTAAAGTCAAAAGTAAAGTTGTGTGGGGTTTGTGTGTCATCTGTTTATCTACTGTAGATAAACGTCAAGTTATATCTTGCAAAGTTGCTTGGTTTACAAACTGGTTACATGGTCCTAACAGGAATTGAAAGACTGGATATTACTTTGCGCAGATATGGTCAGCATTTTACAAAGTTTAAACATTGATAGCGAGAGTTGAAGCCTTTTTGTAACAATATGTTTTTAAACATTTATTCCAGTGCAGTGCCTTGCTGTAAATGTGACTTTTGTTTCTGCACAAGGATGCTTTAAATGAATCAAAAGTAACAACAAAGGCATTTCTGAAGGATCATGTGACACTGTAGACTGGAGTAATGATGCTGAGAAATCAGCTTTGACATCACAGGAATAAATTACACTTACTGTTTTACTGTATTTTTATCTTATACATGCAGCCTTGATGAGCATAAGAGACTTGACAGCCATACTTACATTAATTTCAACTGAACCAAACATAGTACTTTAAAATGTCTGATATCACTTTAGGAAAGTTTTTTTTTTTTCTGTCCTGTTTCTCCGCCCAATATCTGGAATTGCACATATTGCATCAGAATTGAGAAATAGTCTGTATAAAAAAAAGAAAAAAGAAAAGAAAGAAACCTCTGAGTAAACATGTTTCACTTTTCTCCTTTCCTTCAGAAAGAGGCTTGTAGGCATGACAGGATCCACGTATACAAGATTGTGCACTCGGGAATTGTGTGAACAACTTGTGTTGAGATGTGTGTAGCGCTGTTAAAGGATAAGACCAAGTGGATCTGTAACGGAACCCCCCCCCCAAACACACACACACACACACACACACACACACACACACACACACATCCTCAGCCTCTACCAAAACAAGGTGAACAGGCAGAAAGGCTAATGGCTTCCTGACATTGAAACCACATTCACGTTCTGGAATGATTCCACACTACAAAAAAACTGAATAGAAGAGGGGACGAAAAGGGGGGGAATGAAACAGAGAACGAAAACACTCCATCACGTAGGTGACAAGACTTGTTGTGCCAGAGCCAAACTGATGTGTTTAAAGGAGCTCTTACATTACTGAAGGTAAATCCACCGCCACCTTTGTCCAAAAACCTACTAAGCAGAACTCCACATTGGTACCAAGGCTTGATAAACCACACAAGTCCACTCTGTTTTATCATATGACCTGACCCCCTACCTTTCGTTTCCGGGGGATGGGGTCCTCAAACAGGAAGTGTGTACTTTCGGTGTCCTCATTGTTGTCATCACTCTGGGAGGAAAGCAGGAAGCTCTTGCCGGCATCGTTGGAGAGGGGCGGGGACGGCGTGGAGGGCACCGATTGGTCACTGGTGTCCCAGCTCCAGTTCCCACTGGTGGAGCTGCTGTAGCTGGCGGACAGGCTCTCCTTCCAGCCCTTACTAGCCAGATCTACAACCCAAGACAGAACACAGCAATTTTAAAAGCAGGAAAAGAGCTTTGACACTTTCACTGACCCGTTGGGCTATTAGAAGTCAGCAGTAAACACTAGGGGGTGTGAATCGTAAGTGGACTCACGATTCAGTTTGATTACAATTATCAGGTCAATGATTCGATATCACGATGCATAACAATGAGTTGCAATATTACTACACATGGCTACACTTTTGTCAGTCGATACAAAGAGTCAGATATTAACCTTTTTATTGGATCCGCTCCAAGAATGTACACTTCCTAAATGTAGTTTAACAAAACTTATAAACACTTATAAACGCTTAACTTACATAAACGCTACTAAAAACTAGGGCTGTCAGTTTAGCGCGTTATTAACGGCGTTAACGCAAACCCATTTTAACAGCATAATTTTTTTATCGCGCGATTAACGGTCTTTTTGGCCTAGCAAACTTTGTCGTTTTTCATGCGTGGAGTAGAGGTCTGCGGGTTAATGTTTAATGAACAGCCTCGGGTTCGGGTCGGGTTCAGGTTTAACTAAGAATAACTAAATAGGCTATATATAGTTTGCGCGCCGTGTGCAGTGCTTTGCCTGCTTGCTGTGTTGTGGTGACCGGCAGGCACGCGAGAGAGAGAAAGTACATACGTGCGCAGCCGCAGATATGCAATGCACAATCAAACGTATGCTCTCTCTCTCAAATATAATGATATTTTATATTTTAATGATATTTTATTTTTTTATAATTATATATATACATATATATAATATAAATATATATTTTATTATTTGTTTTATTTTATCAAATCATTTATATCACAAAACTGTTTTGCGCATGTGCTACCGCTCTCGCGCGCTATTTCATTCAAAATAGAGACAGACAGCAGACGACAAGCAAAGCATGAGTCTGATAAAGCAAAAAATGACTGAGGGAAAACTTATAACAGTTCCAAATGATGCAGGAAAAGCTGCAATCTGGAAGCATTATGATCTTGTCGTTTCCACCAGTAAAGAGCCCAGTGGTTACGTGCAGTGTAGAGCTTGCAAAGCTGTCTTGGCGTATGACAGCAAAAAGACAGGTACATCTTCTTTACAGCGACACACTGACCGTGGATGCACTCGTCCAACAGCAGGCCTAGCCGCTAGTAACAGACAGTCATCTCTTTCGGACTATCTATCTCCAGCAGCCAAGTCAGTACCAGCTTCTGTAAAATCTAATGTAACAGAAAAATGTGTGGAGTTTTGCTGTCGGGATATTAGATCGTTTCATACGGTTGCTGGACGAGGTTTTATTAACCTAGCGCAAGACCTAATAAATGTGGGGGCTACATATGGCCGTGTCTCAGTGGACAGTGTGTTACCTGATCCCACAACCATTTCTCGGAGATGCAAGGAAACCGCGGCCTCCAAAAGACAGGCGCTGGTCAAAGAAATATCGGAGATCATGTCTGACATTACTGTTGGAATGACCACTGACATGTGGACTGACGACTATCGCAAGATCAGTTTCTTAACTATCACTTGCCACTACATAACACCTGATTTTTTGCTTCGAAGCAGAGTCCTTACAACAGCGATGTTCCCTCCTGAAGAAGCGAAAACTGGTGACAACATACGGAGAGAATTACAGAGACTGCTCGTATCTCAACTAGGATTTGATGCTTGTGTTATGAATAAAGTCGTCTGGGTCACTGACCAGGGATCAAACATGATTGCTGCACTCGCGCCGTATCATCGACTGGATTGTCAGGACCTTGTTTATAGCACAGTTCTCAAACACGCGCTTGATTCTGCCGAACTACGAGACAGCGCACCAGAGGTCACACAGACTTTAATGGCAGCAAAGGCACTTGTGCGATATGTCAAGCAAACGGGTATAATAAGTCAGTTATTAACAACTGTCAGGCAAATGTCAGACACCAGGTTTAGCACGGTGTTCCTTACCTTGGATTCAATTAAGCAGGTGTACGCTGAGCTTCGTGAAAAACTTGAAAGCCGAGGGGAAAGCCGAAAAATTGACGAAATATCTCCGGATGTCATGGAGTTCCTGCTGGAATTTCTTCGCCCATTTTACGAGGCTCAGAGGGAACTAGAGGGTGACCAGTACCCCACACTTAACCTGGTTGTTTTGTGGCACGAGAGACTTAAGCGCCACTGCAGACCTGTGGCATCAGACAGTCCTCACCAGGCCATCATTCGTGAGCGGCATCTTGAATGGCTGAACCGTAAAATCAAAATCCACACACTACATAAGCTTGCCATATTCCTTTGGCCAAAGTTCTGTCAACTCCGCATGCTGTCTCTCCCTGACAGAGAGGATATCCAGCAAGAAGCCAGGCTTCGGATAGCCAGCTTTACCACAGACAACGAGCCAGCTGAACGCGTGGCTGAACCGGTCACTAAAAGAAGCAAGATAGTGGCAGAGTTTGAGGAGTGGGTGAACGTGCCCCTCGGTGAAACCGCAGATGAAGTTACGCAATACTCCAGCCGCAACCATGACATGGAAGAAGAGCGGGATCTCTTGGGTTGGTGGAAAAACAACTGCGGTGTTTTCCCCTTACTGTCAAAACTAGCCCGTAGTATCCTCAGCATCCCTGCAAGTAGCAGCAGCAGCGAGAGAAACTTCAGTGCAGCTGGACTAACTTTCAATCAGAGGAGAACGGCGCTGAAACCATCAACTGTCGACGCCGTTCTCTTCCTTCACAACTCATACTGAGAAGGATGTTGGTGTAAATAGTTTTGCAACAGTGCGTGAAGTTTTTAAAGTTTAAAGTTTGAGTTCCAGAGACATCTGTGACTGTTACACCTGTTCGACCACAGCAACGTTACGTAAATGGTACGTTTTTTTTTTTTTTTCTCTTACTGCTGTGCTGTCTGCTGATAGGGCCGCTGTGCCTACATGTATTTGTTTAATATGTCAAGCAATCATTAAATACAACATAGCATATTGCAAAAATGTTTTTTTATTGTGAGAAACAGAATGGACCTCGGGGTCGGGTTCGAGCTTAATATGTAAATGTAATTGTCGGGTCGGGTCGGGGCGGGTTAAAAGATCGCGGGTACGGGCCGGGTTTGGGCTTCAGTTTAAAGCCCGTGCAGACCTCTAGCGTGGAGCTGCGCTATGAAACCCATTCATTTCAATGGCTTGCGCCACGTGAGGATGTTTTGTTGCTTCGTCGACCAAAGCGCAAGCGGATCTAGCTAGACCGGAAACAAAACAACAGGCACGCCCACACACTTGTTTGGGCTTGCGAGGCGGCCAAATAGTTGGTAAACGTTACGTTTTGAGTGGAGTACGAGTGCGAGACGCCAAAATGGATGCCAATAAGATTCTGAATGGAAAGTTTACTTTACTAAAAAGTTGCCAAACGGTTCCATTGACAAGACCAAAGCGATCTGTGTGTTTTGTTGTCGTTGAACTGAGCGATCATCATTGCAGCACGTCCAGTCTGAAACACCACTTGATTGCCAAGCACACACACACACACAGATCATGCGAATTCTCCACCCCCTCGTCAATATCAGGACCTCGTCAGTATTTTTTTCGCGCTTTTATTGATGGACAGTGTTACATTGTGTGAGAGATTATTTGCTCCAAGTGAGAATTTTAGTGTGAAATTGAACACAGTATATGGCAATGTTGTTTTCAATAAAAAACATTTGCACAAAGCAAGCTGATCCACTTTTCTATGTTGATAAGAGCATTAAAATGAGAAAAAATAATGGGAGGAAAAAGAAATCAAGAGACATTTAGAATATATAAAAATGTGCGATTAATCGTGAGTTAACTACGTCATTAATGCGATTAATCGCGATTAAACATATTAATCGTTTGACAGCCCTTACGAAAAATAACTGCAGTACAATGAAGTACAACTGCGGTAAAACTGCAGTTCAAAGCAGTATAACTGCAGTACAATGAAGTACAACTGTAGATTTGCAGTATTAACGAAGTATAACTGCAGTATAGATACAATGTGACTGCAGTACATTGAAGTGCAACTGCAGTAAAACCACAGTACAAAAAGTACAACTTCAGAATAGTGAAGTAAAACTGCAGTACAACTGTAGATTTGCAGTATTAACAAAGTATAACTGCAGTATAACTGCAGTATAGATACAATGTGACTGCAGTACATTGAAGTGCAACTGCAGTAAAACCACAGAACAAAAAGTACAACTTCAGAATAGTGAAGTAAAACTGCAGTACAACTGTAGATTTGCAGTATAATGAAGTAGCCTATAGATACAATAACTTCAGTTCAGTGATAGACTTTAAAAAGTGATAGACTTTTTTTGATAGAGAAAACATCCATTTTTTTAGGTTTTTGTTTTTATTGGGCTCTCAGGCAATGATATCAGTTTAGTTGCCATTAAAAAGTGAAATTACTGAACCTAAATAAAGGAGCTTTATAGTATGAAAAAAAGATGAAGTTTTTGTTTTTTGCATCTGAAGTTTTGTGCGAGACATAGCCCATGTGACCAAAGCTTCCTTCGCGCGAACGCGCCGCGGGCGTTGTCCTGACAACGAGTCTCGAGAGCAGCTGATGCTCATTACTGTCAGTTAGCGTCTTTCCGCGCAGTGTCTGCTCCATAAAATACGGTTTGGTTGTTTTCCTCACTGAAATTATCGTTCATATACGTTCATATTTATGAACTATCACAATTAAAACACAAAGACATGACAGCGTTACTCGTGGTGACGGTCATTAACAAGTGGAATGGAAGAGAAGCGTTTTCTGGAAGAAAAGAAGTTCATTGCGCGAGGCCTTGTCAAGTCATTCAGCTTAGAGGTGAGTAAATTATTACATATAATGTCCTCATATTTCTCTTTTTTATATTTTAGATTGGTGTAAAAAGACTTTACGTATATGTTGTTCAACCCAGTGGGAAAATAAGAGGAAACGACGCTTCTATTCTGTAATGTTAGTTTTACCATTCTCCGGTTTAACGTTACACTGTTTAACGTTAGTGTTAACTGCGTCACAGCAGATTCTGTAACTTATGTTTGCACTTTGCAGCATTATTGTCTTTATCACTTTTAACGCATTTTTTTAAAACTATTTGTATTGTATAAAGTGCTATACATAATGGTGACTTTAGTTAAATTGTTTAAATTTAATATCATGAATATTAGAAATATCAGACACAAACTTACTGGAAAATACAAGCAAATATGTTCTGTAGTTTGACATTATGTGCAGAAAAGGATTTTTTTTTTTTTTTTTTTAAAGTAGGCTAACTTACTTTTTCGTGTGATTGCTATTTCCAGGAAAATGTACTGGTAACAACTAAAAACAGAAGACGATGGCTGCGGTGAAACAAATATGCACTCACAGACTATAAAAATTGTGTGTCTCTGCTTTTTTCCAGAAATGCATGTTATTGGGCAAATTGTGTAGACTGTCAATGGAGTGACAAAGATTTCATCAAAAAGATCTTCAGTTGTGTTCCCCGTGTCTTGTGGGGTTGGAATGACATGAGGGTGAGTAATTTAACTTTTATCTGGAGTGTTCAATCATTATTAATGCTGAACAGTAAACCATAAATTAACATAAATAGGATGCATTTCAATTAGATCAAATCTAATATGGATATGTCTAGATATAGAATAACATTTTGCTAAAGAAAACCCCAAAAAGGTTCATTATAGATACAGTAAACACCTGTTCACCGGTCATTTTCCACAGCTGTATGCAAAGGCAAGTGGGCTTCTCCTGGGAGACTAGCGCAAGTGGGCCTCACCTGGGAGACTAAATTAATCACCTAGTTTATCGCTGTCTACTGTTTTAGAAGAGGAAGTTGCTCAACTGCATTTATGAGAAAATCGAGCCGAGATCTCTCATATAAAGCCAAGTGTTAGGGACGCACGATGACATCAGCACGACATCGGTATCAGCCGATAAAAGCTTAATGATCATCGGTATCGGCCGAAATTAATATCTCTGCCGATGAGCCTTGCCAATATGTGGTGGATTTACTATGCGCACATGACGACCATGAACGTAGCATGAGCGCCAGCAACTTAAATGTCCAGCTGTGTGGAGGAAAAGGCGCGCTTCAGTATCGAGTTCTTTTTCAGGCTTGAACAAACCATAACACGCACACAAATTATGCCAAAATGTCAGTTTTGTCGAGTGTCCTCATTAGAGCAGTTTCAAAGGTCCCCTGACATGGGTTTTTTAAAATTATTTTATAATATTTCCTGGGTTGCCCTTAAATAGTATGTTTTTTTAGATAAAAAATAGTCATAATTTAGAAATAAAAGGCATTTTTCCAGCCTGATTTTAGCCTCTGCTTTGAACGCTCTGTTAGAAGGGGCGTGTCCGCTGTGGGATTCAATGTAACCGCCCACTGCTGTGATTGGCTGACATGCTTGCAAATGAAATAGCTACATATTACATGTGAAGCTCTCTTGAATACTTTTACTATTATACGTTTTTACTATTACAGATATCGAGATTACTGAATCGTGAGAAGTTTTTGAAGTATTTAGATTCTCATCACATAAAATGTTGCTGTGATGAGAAGCAGATGAGAGTCTGTCGATCGCGAGAATGAAGATCTTATTGTATAACGCAGTTTCTGCTCTATCTGCTTTCACCAATGCAGACACGATGATGTACAGTAAGAGCTTCGTTGTGCAGTGTAACGCAGTTTCTGTTCTCTCTAAAGCCCGGAACTCAACTTTGGGAGTTGAGTCGGCGCATTTCCAGAGAAAATAAAATTAACCCATTGTTTCTTCAGAGCCGCAGATGAAGTAACTAAAAAATACTTTTGTGTTCATTTGTACATCCGAACAGCGAACACTGAGCAACTGCCATGCTTCGCTCGTTTGCAAGCCATGATATCTCTCGAGGAAAAACTCAAATCTCCTATTTCTCTAGGAAAAAATAAAATCACGCCTGCGCGTGTTCGTACTTCCTGTTCCTAGCTCGTTTTCTCATTGTCGGGCCAAATTCTCTGGGCGGGCAAAGCAGAGAAAAGGGAGTAACCTTTCCCCCGTATGACGTTATATAGGGGGAGATTCAAGATCAGCGTGTCTGAGCTGCAGACAGATGCAGAGAAGAGAAAAATAGCCAACGCTCGGTTTACACCGATTGAAAATTCTAGACACGAGGGGACCAAATACAGTCTAGGGGAACTCATATTAATGTTAAAAAACGTCAGAAAATGAAAATTTCATGTTAGGGGACCTTTAAAGGATTTAAATAATCTTAAATTAACATGGAGATTTGTGAGAAAATGGGGACACGTGTCGGATTGCATCTCTGTCAGCAGCGGCTGATTTTAAAGTGCCATTAATATTAATCAAAGAACAAAGGTAAGAGTGAATGGCTCACTCAGACCTGGAGCCAGGAGGGTTATTATACCGGTAGTCTAATAATCATCAATGCACTCCTATATTTTAACACATCTCCGCCGAACGGCTTCTTCACGCAAAAGAAAAACTCTTAAACTCTTATAAAGCGCAGTAAAATTCAGCGACTTATGGCTTTTCCTGATGGATCGTGTTTGTTCCTTATCTTCATTTTATATGTGCAACTCGCGTAGCCTACAGTATAAGGTGTGAATGTCTGGCTAAATTTGTAAAAATTATATTTATGATAGAATCAAATGTTGTTTGTCTTTTGTATTGCCTTATCTACAACACATGAGGGTAGTAAGGTAACGGTAGTACAGGAGAGAGACTTTATTTGATTTCTCTTCAGTAATCAAAATGTGTGTGCATGTATTTTTTTATATGTTATTATATGGTGAGAAATGTGTATAAATATCGGTATCAGCCAAAATGAGTTTGCAAATATCGGCATATCGAATATCGGCCAAAATCCAATAATTTGCATCCCTACCAAGTGTCTCACACTGCATTTTCGCTCAAATTGACCTTTTCACTTGCACATTGCTTGCTTTGTTTATGAGTCGAGTTTTCCTTTACAAAGCAGATTGAGTTTGTTTGCAAATGCTGGATTTGTTTAATTATGGCACAATATTAATTCCATTGAATAACCCCTATTTCAAAAAACAGTGGCGTGTTCCTTCCTGCATTAACTTGCAGATTCATTTTAAGCATAATATATGCCTGTGGTGAAGAGTAACTGAAAAGATTGTCTCTGATTCTTTTTGTTTGTTTATTACTGTTACAGCCCTTAATCTAGTTCAGCTCGTTTCAAATTCTCCCATAGACAAAAGACCGAACATATAGAAATCACAGACGATTGGGGTAGCGTTTCTGGTGTTAACACACCATAGTTTTAATTAGAGAGGCCTTGAGAGTTGAGTAAACAATAAATCATAAATTCATCAAAATAAAAATAACACAGGTAGGCCCATAAAGGGAAAACAGATACCCTTACTAACCCTGTACTTCAGTCGGGAGAGATCTTACCTGGCTCCCGAAAAGAAATAAAACGGGTGAATCTTCCGGGCCGCTGCTTCCCTTCACTATAATAAATAAATAATAAAAAGTGTACAAAGGAAATAAAGCCACTACCTGGTTTAAACAAATAAACTAGAATCAAAAGAAAACAATCATTCGCCTCGCTCCCGCATGGCGAGACGACAACACACAGGTGATCACGCCGCACGGCGAGAAAACCCCAGCTGGTAATTAGGCGGCCATAGGCGGAGAGAAGAGGAGATCTGAGAGCGCTGTGAGAGAGAGCGACATCAGAACCGGCACCGCTTAAATAGCGGGAACTCCCGTCACGTCACTTCGTTTTCCGCTGTACAACTCTACATCGCCATCTGTAAACTCAAAAGAAATAGCACACACACTAATCGCTCAGTACACACATGTAACAATTACAGACTTCCAAAATCGTGTTTCCACATCTGAGATGAAGGCAGTGAAAAGAACGAAGTGGAATGAGAATAAGCTCTTCAAAAAACACAACTTCTCTGAATAATGTGGGGGAAGATGTATGCATGATTTGTAAATAAACACTTTAAATACATTGTCTAACTCTCAGCCTGTTATTTGAAATAAAATAAAAAGTAAAATCACATTATTTGTTGCATTGCAGTTTGAGACATTCCCTGTTTTGTACCTTAATTCATTATTGCAGATGTGTGAAAACTTATTTGGGATATTCTGGTTGTATTTCAATGGTATTGTACAGCATTTTATTTGTATTGCATTTCAGTAGTATTGTACTTTAGTAGAATTATGTATTGCAGTGCTACCGCAGCTATATTGCAGTATTATTGCAGTACCACCACAGCTATATTGCAGTATTATTGCAGTACTACCGCAGTTATATTGCAGGACTACCGCAGTTATATTGCAGTACTGCCGCAGTTATATTGCAGTATTATTATAGTACTACTGCATTTATATTGCAGTACTACCGCAGTTATATTGCAGTACTACCGCAGTTATATTGCAGTATTATTGCAGTACTATGGCACTTATATTGCAGTACTACTGCAGTTATCTTGCAGTATTATTGTAGTACTACTGCAGTTATATTGCAGTACTGCCGCAGTTATCTTGCAGTATTATTATAGTACTACTGCACTTATATTGCAGTACTACCGCAGTTATCTTGCAGTATTATTGTAGTACTACTGCACTTATATTGCAGTACTACCGCAGTTATCTTGCAGTAGTACCGCAGTTATATTGCAGTATTATTGCAGTACTATGGCACTTATTTTGCAGTACTACCGCACTTATATTGCAGTATTATTGTAGTACTATTGCACTTATATTGCAGTACTACCACAGTTATATTGCAGTATTTTTGTAATACTACCGCAGTTATATTGCAGTATTATTGTAATACTACTGCAGTTATGTTGCAGTTCTACTGCAGTTGTACTCCAACTACTGAAAAAAACTGCATTTTCTACATGCAGTATTACTTCTAAAAAAACTGCAGTAATTTTTTGTAAGGGAGCACTACTAAAAACCCTACTTAAGTTACATTAACGCTCACGCACACACACATTTTCGCACGCACACTAACTAACACACACGCACGCTGGTGGTGTAAATGTTAAAATAGTGTCAGTGCTCGCTTTAGTGTTCCGCCTCCCTCCGCCATTTTACGCTAGTGGGACCATAAACGTTAGTAGGCTATAACGCCAATAATCGATTATGGTCTATTACTCCATCGATGCAGAATTATCCATGTTAGCATCGTGATGGATCATAGAAACCATTCATTTTCAACACCTCTAGTAAACACATCCACAAATTCAACACAAAAAACAAACAAACACAACCATTAAAAACTCAACAAAATCCCCACAGTTTCAACACACTACTAACTCAAATCAACCAGGTCTCATCCCCTTTATTTAGCGCATGTCTTGGCCGGGAATGATTTAAATGAGGAATATTGTGACATTTTCCCGGAAGAAAACTCAATGGAGGCGATATTCAGTGTTACTCCCTTAGCAGTAATTTTGTACTTTAACTTTTTACACCCTTTTCATGCTCAAACAGCAACATCAAACAAAAGTGAACATGTAAAAGTGCATAATAGATCGTCTTTAATATAAGACTGGTATCTTACAAAAGCAAAATGGTATCTACCCAAACCTATACCGCAATTATGATTTAAAGGCTAGTCCAATTTCTTTTAAAGTGAGCATGACATACAGTATCTGGCAAGATATCCTTTCTCTCACAGAATGTACAAAAAGGCATTAAAAGTATAATGTACTAAAGTGTTAAAACTTAAGTAATAGTTTACAAAAAGGTTCAATTCATTAACATCAGTCAGTTTATCAGGTATCAGATTTACATTTTACGCAGCATTAATATACTAAAAAAAAAATCCTGGTTTATTATTTTTTTGTTTGGGTATATTTTGTGTCACCCAGTTCTTGGGTAATACGTAACAACCCAGCGGTTGAGTTATTTATCGCAGGCTTTTATCATCCTCTTCAAGAGAGAGTTCTCAGCGCCATCCAATTGGCACATTTCTTCTGTAGAATACATGTTTGTGTATATTTTATTTTAAGTTGAGTCAATACATCATCAATCAATACAAAACAAGTTTAGTCTTACCCTGAGTCACTATGGTGTAAGCCTATTATAAGTGTTTATATTTTAGACCTGTCATTCGCTCCTGTGCGTGTCTCGTCATATCCATATATAGAGAAAAGTTGCTCCGGCTACTTTGACGCATATATGGTGTGAGAGTGTCAGAGGTTAGTTATTTGTCACAATCAGCGAGAAAGATTGACATGGGTCAGCTAATTCTCCAAACCTCCGGGAATCATCCGTTTTAAACAAACGCTGAACAGAGGAGAGTCTGCTGGTATAAAGAGAGCTCGTAATAAACCCAGAATCAACATTGGCTTAGCTTTTTGGAGATGGCGAGAACTGAGGCATTTGAAAAGTTGTGAAAATGATGCGAGATGCATTGTATAACTCAACATGTGAGTAAGGTATATTATTGAACACATGAATTGCCATATGTAGCTCTCTAAGGCCCCGTCCACACTACTGCGTTTTTGTTTAAAAACTGAGAATTAAAACGAATACGATCTCCGTCCACACCAGCGTTTTATCTGCGTATTAGAATTGATCTCCGTCCACATTAAAACGTCTGAAAACGCGGATCACGTGACCATTCACCAACACTGGGCATGCAGTGTTGGTGTAAACAGGAAACGGGTCATGCTGACGAATCAAGGAAGGACACGTCATGACTGATGACACCCAATCATAGAGCCGAGCGTGAGCCTCTGTGTCATTATTTCTAGAGTCCTCCATTTTGTCCCGTCTTCACCAAAACGCCCTGCAGAGATTTAAAACGCAAAACGGAGCTGCGGCATTTCTAAACTTCTTCGTTTTTTCCGTTTTAGTCTGGACGGGAGGTGCAAACATAGCAAAAGGTCTCCGTTTTTAAACGAAAACGCAGTATTGTGGACAGGGCCTAACAGAGTTCATTGTAAAGCATTATCTATTGTGAAGGGTCATATTCATCCGCACAGTCACGCAAGCACGACCAAAACAATGTTCTTCTGCAAAATGCATGCAATTTCGTTTTTAACTGCTAGAGGGCCAATAGTTACATAGTGTACCTTTAACATGAACCTATAATAAATGATCATTGACTGATGTGTGATAAAAACATAATGGCTATAAACTCAATTCTAAAAATATACCATACTTACACAGTTGAGCTATGCAGCAGAATAAGACACACTGTCCAGATGATTTTAAGCAATTACAACCCTGAACAAACCAGCTTAAACAACTAAATCACTATGCTTAAAGACACGTCACACAACCTTGAGCAACAGTTCAAGCTGTGCTGACCTTGAATGACTCCAAAAGGGCAAATCACCCCCATTTCATGACACTTGACCTCTTAGGATAATGGTGTAGGTTCTTCCAGCAAGTGTGCACTTGCAGTTTAGCAAATGTTTTTCATTGAAAGTGGCTTACAATGCACTAATTACAGGAACCGACTCTCTGGAGTAGCATAATTTAAGAGATAAGTGTTAGGCTCAAGGGCACAAAAGCGACAAGAAACAATTGTAATCTAAGTAGCCCTACACAGTTTGACTCGCTGACTCGAAGTTACTGTTCAACACCTCACTCAGGTCAGCAGTGATGCCATAGAAGAGCCATTCTTGGTTCCCCAAAGAACCTTTGAGTGAACAGTTCTTAAAGAACTTTTTTCTTACTGCGAAGAACATTTTAATAATCTCAAGAACCCTTTTTCACTATAAAGAAGCTTTCATGCACTTTTTTTTTGCCACATGAGTGTTTTACTGTGGTGTAATCCATTTCACATAAACCTAAACTGTGGTTGGTCGCTTATAAGTCTGTCAGACAGTCTTGGCGAGAACAAGCTGTCTTGAGGAGGCCTTATGCCGTTAGTCATTAGGCTACATGAGACAATACTGAGGAGCTACCGGCAGGCCATAATTATTTAGTCCTGGTGGGGAGGAAAGGGACTCTTGTCTTTTATTTGTGCAGCCACCAGGATACAGTATAATAAGTCTTTAATTTCCCAGATGGGCAATGTGTTTACATTAAATACATTAAAAAATGACAATTCAAAATAAAAAACGCATAACATCCAATCCCAAGGCCAATGTCCTAGATAAAATAGTAAATTGAGAGTAAGGAAAGCTGTGCCACTTTTTACTTAAATTGTCCTCTAGGCAAGAGTAATGAGATATAATAATATTTCAGGATATGTGTCTTCAACTGAAAGCATCAGTATCAAAGTGACAGAAATATAAGTTACACACGCATACATAAACACGAGAAAAACTATTTACTAATGTCCAGTGCCATTTTAACTCTTTCCCTGCCAGTTTTTTTTTTGCCAATTTACATTTTCACAAAAAGTAAATGGCCCCAAGAATATGTTGTTGTATGTATCTAAACATAAAATATATCAAAAGAAAGAATATACCAACCCAGTTTTATTCTATCTTCAGACATAATTTTATCAACACTCAAAAAAACGCATTTTTGTCAAAGACCACATTCAGATTGGATCATTCCAAAGTTTAGATTGAGCTTCCAAAGCTTCCCAGTCCTATGTTCAGCCTAGTTTCATTATCATGGACTTTTGATAGTGGACTTTTAGTTTGCTTTTCATTAATTTTCATTTTGCGTTCTATTAATCATCCTCATTTGTGTTTGCTATATAAGTTGGTCCCTAACATTCATTCTCTGTCCGATCACCGTTATGTGTAACTGTGTGTTACTCAGCCTATTTAATAGGGGTGTGCAAAAAAATCGATTCACATTTGAATCGCGATTCAATCTTTACCGATTCAGAATCGATTCATAGAATTCCAAAAATCGATTCATATATATAGGCTATATTTCGGTGTGGCAATCGGGTGAGTCGGGACTTTTACCGGTGGTCCGGTAGTGTTTCTATGGTTTCGAGGCTGCGAGGGCCGGTCTGATAAATAGTTATTGCAAATTCTTGCCGCCCGCTGGTCAAACTGTGCAGCCACTCTGCTCAACCCGTAAATAAATGCATCGATCCACAGATCTTATGTTTGAGTTCTGTAGATCTTTTGCCAAGCGTGTCAGAGGTTACGGGTTCTAAACCGCACTCGTATAGTTTTTTTCTCTTTCTCATCTAAACCGAATATGTTCATCACGTTTGTGTGCATTTTATTTTGTGATTTCACCAGAGTCTCCACAACGGCGATAGATTGAA